GCCGCGGACACGCGGTCCAGTGGCACTGGCATCCTGCTGGGAGGGCGCCTGGGCGACCTGAGGGAGCGCGGCGGCGCTGAAATGTTGCTTTGGGCCCTAGGGGGCGTCACGCGCTTTCAGGACGATTGAGAAGCTGGTGCTTGAGAAACAATGTGTCCCGGCTGCCTGCGACACGTCCCACCAACATGCCAGCTCAGCACTGGGTGGCGACTGTTCGAGGGGCGCACGTGTGACACATCTCGTGCCCCCAGGAGAGCCGTAGCATGTGACGCTCTTCCGCGTCGTGTCAGTGTGTCTCTCCTCGTCCTCGGTATTGGCCTTGTCCATTCGTACTGCTGCCTTCTCTTCACTGTCTTCATGCCCGACCTCCTCGCCATTTCTCCTCCCTCTTGCCCGATCCTCTGTGTGGCGACGGTTGGAGCAGCGCCCAGAAGACGTTCACATGTGACACCTCGGCCGTTTTGGGGCCTGTGTTGGGATGCTGTGAGGCCGTCCTGGGGCAGACTAGGGTGCTGCTGCCTCGGCTTCGGATGCTGCTGCTGACGACGATAATGATGACGATGATGGTGATGATGATGATGATGATTATGATGATGATGATGATGATGATGATGATGATGATGATGATGATGATGATGAATACGATGCTGCTGATGACGATGTTGATGATGATGTTGATGATGATGCCGATGATGATAATGACTAAGACTAAGATAGTCATGATGGCGATGATGATGCTGATGATGATGACGATGATGATGGAGAATGTGGTGATGCTGACGAAGATGACGATAGTTGTGATGATAAAGATAATGGTAATATGGATGATGCTGATGATGATGGTGACAGTACTCGTGATGGTAATGGTGATGACGATGTCCATAACGATGACAATGGCTATAGTGTCGGTAATGCCGGCGACGACGACGATGATGATGATGATGATGATGATGATGATGATGATGATTACGCCCTTGATGCTGATGACGACGTTGCTGATGATGGTTTTGGTGGCGATGCTGATGATGATGATGATGATGATGATGATGATGATGATGATGATGGGGAGGAGGGTGTTGATGATGATGAAGATGTTGATGATGATGCTGCTGCTGATAGTGAGGCTGCTGATGCTGATGCTGCTGATGATGACGATGCTGACGATGATGATGCTGGTGACCACGATCGTGATGGTGATGATGATGCTGATGTTGATGCTGCTGATGATGCTGTTGCTGATGATGATGATTATGATGATGCTGCTGATGATGATACTGATCATTATTATTATCATTTTTTTATTATTGTTGTTTCTCATGGTTATTTGCTCTTATCCTCGTCATTATACTTACCATTATTATCATTATTGTTACCATCGCTCTCGTTGTTATTCTCACGTTTCTGATGATGATTATGATGATGATGATGATGATGATGATGATGATGATGGCGCTGCTGATGATGATTCTGATGATGATGATGCTGATGCTGATGACGATGAGGACGATGAGGATGATGCTGAGCAGGAGGATGAAGAGGAAAAGGAGGAGGAGGCGGAACAGGAGAAGATGAGGAGGAGTAGGATCAGGAGGAAGGGGGACAGGACAATGCAGAGGAACGACGTAACATGTGGCACCTGCTGCCCGGAGGTTCCAGGAATTCGTGGACGGTCACCTGATGGTTACGATGATGACGCTGTCGATGGTGCTTACGATGATGGTTACGGGCGGTAACAATGATAATGGTGTCGATGATGACGGCGACGATGATGGTGCTGATGATGATGATGGTGATGATGATGGTGATGCTGATGACGATGCTGCTGATGGTGGTGGTGGTGATGCTGATGATGATGTTGTTGATGATGATACTGATGGTGATGATGGTGATGCTGATGACGCTGATGATGACTACGATGTTGCTGCTGATGATGCTGCTGATGATGATGTTGCTGACCATGATGATGCTGCTGCTGATGATGTTGATGATGATGACGATGATGATGATAATGGTGATGATGATGCTGCTGCTATGATGATGAAGATGATGATCGTGATGATATGGTGATGATGGTCATGATGCTGCTGCTGCTGATGATGATGCTGGTGCTAATGCTGATGATGCTGCTGATGATGATGATCCTGATGATTATGGTGATGATGGTGATGATGGTGATGATGATGATAATGATAATGATGCTGATGCTGATGCTGATAATTATGAAGATTATGATGACGATTCTGATGATGGTTTTGCTGATGATGAAGATGTTGATGATGATGCTGCTGCTGATAATGATGATGCTGCTGCTGATGATGATGATGCTGCTGCTGATGATGACGATGCTGACGACGATGATGCTGGTGACCACGATGGTGATGGTGATGATGCTGATGATGACGCTGGTGATGATGCTACTGCTGATGATGATGATTATGATGATGCTGCTGATGATGATACTGATCATGATTATTCGAATTATTTCCATAGTTGTTGTTTCTCATGATTATTTGTTCTTATCATCTTCAGTCTAATTATCATTATTATCATTATTGTTACCATCGCTCTCATTGTTATTCTTACGATTATGATGCTGATTATGATGATGATGATGGCGCTGCTGATGATGATGATGATGCTGATAATGATGCTGATGCTGATGACGATGAGGACGATGAGGATGATGCTGAGCAGGAGGATGAGGAGAAGGAGGAGGAGGCGGAACAGGAGAAGATGAGGACGAGTAGGATCAGGAGGAAGGGGGACAGGACAATGCAGAGGAACGACGTAACATGTGGCACCTGCTGCCCGGAGGTTTCAGGAATTCGTGGACGGTCACCTGATGGTTACGATGATGACGCTTTCGATGGTGCTTACGATGATGGTTACGGGCGATAACAATGATTATGGTGTCGATGATGACGGCGACGATGATGGTGCTGATGATGATGATGATGGTGATGATGATGATGATGGTGATGCTGATGACGATGCTGCTGATGGTGGTGGTGGCGATGCTGATGATGATGATGATGTTGTTGATGATGATACTGATGGTAATGATGGTGATGCTGATGACGCTGATGATGACTACGATCTTGCTGCTGATGATGCTGATGATGATGATGTTGCTGACTATGATGATGCTGCTGCTGCTGATGATGGTGATGATGATGATGACGATGATGATGATGATGATGATGATGATGATGATCATGATGATATGGTGATGATGGTGATGATGATGCTGCTGATGATGATGCTGGTGCTACTGCTGATGATGCTTCTGCTGCTGATGATGATGATCCTGATGATTATGGTGATGATGATGATGATGGTGATGATGATAATGATGATGTTGCTGATGGTGATGATGATGATGAGGATGATGATGCTGATGCTGATGACGATTCTGATGATGATGATGATAACGACGATTCTGATGATGATGATAATGATGATGACGAAACTGATGCTGACGATATGGTGGTGATGATGATGATGATCATGATGATGATGGTGATGCTGATGCTGCTGATGATGATGATGATAATGGTGGTGGTGGTGGTTGTGATGATGATGATGATGTTGATGCTGCTGATGACGATGATGATGATGATGATGATGATGATGATGATGATGATAATGTTGGTGGTGGTGGTGGTGATGATGATGATGCTGATTCTGATGATGATGAGGATGATGATGATAATGACGATTCTGATGATGATGATAATGATGATGACGAAGCTGATGCTGACGATATGGTGGTGATAATGATGATGATGATGATCATGATGATGATGGTGATGCTGATGCTGCTGATGACGATGATGATGATGATGGTGGTGGTGGTGGTGATGATGCTGATGATGATGATGATGATGATGATGATGATGATGATGATGATGATTCTGATTCTGATGATTTTGATGATGATGATGATGATGATGATGATGAGGACGATCATGATGATGATGATGATGATGATGATGATGATGGTGATGGTGATGGTGATGGTGATGCTGATGATGATGATGATGATGATGATGATGCTGATCAGGAGGACGATGAGGAGAAGGAGGATAAGGAGGAGGTGGAAAGGAAAACGGAATATTCAGAGGAATGACGTAACATGTAACACCTGTTGCCCCGAGGTTTCAATAATCAGTGGACGGTCACCTTTTGATCGCTGCTATCTGCACTCTGTGTCACTGTGGCGAAGGTGTGAGCAACGCCCGGAAGACCGCACATGTGACACCTCGGCCGTTTTGAGACCGTCTTGGGCTACTGTGCGGTTTCTGGTGCATGCGACATATCTTCGTTTCTGGGGAGCACGCGGGAGGGGCTCTTGGGACACCCGTGGGCGCGGGATCCTTCCCCCAGCGCTCCTCGGCGTTGCTCCTCGGCGTTGCTCGGCAAGTACGGCCTCTGGCGTTGCTCGGGGTTCCTCTTCCCAGGCAGTGCCAGGCAATGTCGGGCAATGCCAGGCAATGCCGAGCAAGGCCGATCAACGCCTAGCAATGCCGAGAAATGTCGAGCAGTGTCAAGCAATGCCAACCAATTTTAGGCAATGCCGAACACTGCCAAGCAATGCCAAGCAATTTCGAGCAATGCCGAGCAATGCCAAGCAACGCCATGGCAGGCAATGCCAAGAAGTGCCAAGGAACGCCAATCAACGCCAAGCAACGCCACGCAATGTCGAGCAATGCCGAGCAGAGCCAAGAAATGCTGGGCAATGTTAAGCAATGCCAAACAGTGCCAAGCAGCGCTAATCAAGCAATGCCGAGCAATGCCGAGCAATGCCAAGCAATGCCAAGCAATGCCAAGCAATGCACATCTTCGCATTGCTCATAACTGACTTGCATCGTTCTGGGAGAAAGGGGACCCCTAGTTGGGGTTGCGCCGTGCTCGTAGAGTAGTTTCTCATCCAGGGCCCAGAGGGCTGATACACGTATCAGCTTTCCTTTGAAGGCTCTACGTGGCCGCGAGAGGTGAACATTCTGACCGCTTGCACGAAAGCGTCAAGCTCCGCGTGTGCAGCTTCTTTCCGTGGCCGCCTTGGCCCAAGTCCTTTCAGGCGAGAGACCGCTCGAGACGTCCCCGGCTCTGCCCTGCACGACCTGCTGCCACGCTCCACAGCGGGCCATGCCGCGCGCCTCCGTCTTGATCTTCGCTTCCCTCGGCGCCGCCTCGGCCGCGGATGTGGCGCCAGCCTGCGCGCGGGACTCAGCGCTGCTCCAGGCCAGGGCAACCGTGACCAACAGCCCGCACGAGGGCCACGTCAGGGTCGAGCGACAGATGGTGGGCTGCTTTCCCCGTGCCGCCGGCGACATGGACGACCAGCAGAGCTTCCAGGACACGACGTGCGTGAGCGCGGCGAGGCGCAACAGCTCGCTGCAGCCCTGCCGCAGCGGGATGCCTTTCTTCCGGCTCCCCATGCAGAAGCAGCAGTCTTCTTCGGATTGCTTCATGTTCTGTCTCTCCAAGGGCCTCGACCTCTCGGGCCTGGTGCACAGCGAGCGCGCGGGGCTCTCCGAGTGCCGGTGTGGCGCCACGAGGGCCAACAGGGCGGCCTGGTACGAGTTGACGCCGCCTCCTGGGCTGCTCTTGCCGAACGGCTCCGTCGATCCAGACGACAACGAGCACTGCAAGATGCTGGTGTGGCAGTACACGGGGCCTCTGGAGGACGGGGCAGTACCGACGGTGCTCACAGAGCTGAGCACGGGCGACGAGGCGTACATCGACGGGATTGCAGTGGGCGTGGACCCTCATGAGATCACGGAGGAGGACGGGGCCGGCGAAGGGACCCCGACGGTGCACCCAGACACGTTGGCCAATTTGTCGCTCCTCGGCGTCAAAGGGTTGTGTGAGGATCACACCCAGACGGGCGTCGGGAACAACATGCCTTGCTCCCAGGCCAAGACCTGGTGCAACGCCGCAGGCGATCTTGGCTTGGCCGTGCGCGGCGCCTGCCCCTTCAGCTGCGGCCTCTGCACCCAAGCCTACGGCTGGATGCCGTGTTACCCCCACCCTTGCAGCCCCGGGGGCGGGCCTTGGACGACCAAGGTCGGCAACGTGGTCAACATCAACTACTACTTCGACAACCTCGACGCGGACAGACAAGCGGCGTTCAACAAGGCCAAGGACGAGTGGGAGTCCAAGACGTGCGTGAGGTTCACATACAGCTCCGCCACACCGCGCATGAGGATCACGGTCACCAACCAGGCAACGTGCTCCGCCTTCGTGGGGTTCCCTGGCTCGGACGGGACTCTTGACGTGAACCTCGGTTGGTGCAACAGTTTGACTCATTGGGGCAATATTGCCCACGAGCTCGGCCACGCTCTGGGCATGAACCACGAGCAGAACCGGCCCGACGGCCCAGGCCAGACCAACACCCCGGCGGGGTGGAAGGGCCCTCACCTGCGAGTCAAGTGGCAAAATATCGATACGGTTTGGAGGCCCCAGTGGGAGGGCCAGAAGCGCAGCTACTATGGCTCCCAGACCGCTGGCTACTCGGCGTACGACTACGGATCGATTATGCACTACGGCCTGGGGGACAACGCCGACGCCACCAATTCTGCCTGGCAGAGCGTGCCAGGGCAACGAGATGGGCTCTCCGCTGGCGACATCGCCCAGTTCCAGGACATGTACCAGTGCGGCGATTCGGCGCCGCAGCCCACGCCTGCGCCAGCGCCGACCCCTCCCCCGCCGACCCCCGGGCCTGCGCCTGCTGGGTGCGTGGACAGCACCGAGAACCCCTGGGGCCAGTCCTGCGCCGCGTGGCTGGCGCAGGGCGCGTGCGCTGAGTCGGATGGCATCCGGCAGCACTGCAAGGTGAGCTGCCAGCAGTGCGTTTCGGAGACCCCCGCTCCGACCCCTGGGCCTGCACCCGCCGGGTGCGTGGACAGCACCGAGAACCCCTGGGGCCAGTCCTGCGCCGCGTGGCTGGCGCAGGGCGCGTGCGCTGTGTCGAGTGGCATCCGGGAGCACTGCAGGGTGAGCTGCCAGCAGTGCAATCAAGCGCCGACCCCCGCTCCGGCGGGCGGTGCTGGCTGCACCGACAAGCAGGGGCAGTTGTCGTATGGGTTTACTTGCCCCCAGTGGGCGTTAGCGAGCCACTGCGCTGGGTCGCAGACGATTCAGGCGGATTGTCCTGGGAGCTGCGCAGAGGTCGAAAAGGTCACCTACGGGTACACGTGCGCGGAGTGGCATGGGTGGGGGCATTGCGACAGCTCGGAGACGCTGAAGGCCGAGTGCCCCCACATCTGCGGGCAGTGCCGGTAGATCCAGCCGAGGGGATGACGAGTTTGACTGAGCCGTCAGCAGTGCACGCCCCGCCCTCTGGCCCCCGCGCCCAGCGCCGGCGGCTGCACCGACATGCAGGGGCTGCAGACCTGCGACTGAGCGAACATTCCTATTCCGCGCGCTGCGAAGGTTTGTCGAGGCTCAGCAGGGGACTCCACCCGAAGGCTGGCGGGATCGAGCCTCAGGAGGCGACTCTGCACAAACGCTGCCCGTCGCTTCTTGCAAGCCCGAATTCGTGATTCGGCTGAGGCACAGAGACCTCAGGCCTAATTAGTCTTAGGTCGGGCCTATCTCTCTACAGGAGGAATATTCGCGAATAGTTGAACAATAGTCTGGGGACGTGATTCGGCTGAGGCACAAAGACCTCAGGCCCAGTCTTCCTGCCAGGGTCGCAATCGTATCCTTTGCGGTCTCTGAGCTCCGTATGCGGTATCCCAAAAGAGACCCGCGCTCTCTGCCCCCCCCCCCCCAGGCTGAGTGTCATCTTGTGGCCACGTTTGGACAGCTCTCTGGGGTTCTGTGGAGCCCTTTTTTTGGGGCAGCTTGGCGCCTCCTGGGCCACCTTCGGGACACCGATGTCGGGCAATCTTGGGGCTATCTTGGTGTCTCTGTGGCCCGTCTCTGGGGCCTCTTGGGGCCATCTTGGGGCCTTGTTGGGCCATCCAGGGCGGGCTTGGCTGCACCATGGGTCTGTGGCCACCGCATGGCCGTCTTGGGCAGTCTCGCCAGGAACGCAATCTGGGACAGGCAAAACACTTGGAACACTTGATTGCTTTTCACTGTTTTGGCTCTCTCGGGGGCGTCTTGGGGCCCTCTTGGACCATCTGAGAATAACCATAGGGGCAATCTATCTTCGGCCGTCTTGGGCCCTCGATGCTCTCTTCGGGACCTCGTGGGGCTGTCTTCGAGTTCTGTGCTCTCTTGGCCGTCCAGTTGCGTCCCCACAGGAGTCATGGGGCAGCCTGGGATCGGCTTTTGCTTGACGTCCACAGTGCTATGGAGACAGGGCTGGAGAGACAAACGACAACAACAAAAGACGTTGCACAGAACATCAGTAGTCCAGCGGCAGCTTCACCAGCCTGGTGCCCTCAAGGGAGCTGGCGGATTTGTTGTTGCGCCATCGTGTCAAACTGCAGAAGGCTCCACTGCGCCAGGTGCACACATGCAGTGAATGGACAAGAGCGGTGCGGCTCGGCAGCACGCCTGGCTAGGTTGCGCTCTTCCTGCCTGGTGTCCGGGCCCCCTGATGATGCATCCGTTTTCTCGATTCTGCGACGGAGCGCCCCTGCGAGGGCACGCCCCTGATGGGGGCAGACGCTGCCGCCCCACCACTTCCAGGTCGTGAAATTCGTGGGGTGGGGGGGGGGGGCAAGACGGCGCCCCCCGAGTGGACACCAGGACAGCTGCCCCGCGGAGCCCTCGTGGGGCTCTTCTTGCAGAGGGTACTTGGGGTCCTCTGCAGGCTCTGTTTGGGCGTCTCGGGATTCTCTCGGGGCCCTCTTGGGGGTCTCTTGGGCCCTTCGTGGGAGTTCTGAAACCCTCTTGGGCCCTCTTGGGGGTCTCTTGGGCGTCTCGTGGGAGTTCTAAGGGGGCCTCTCGGGGCCATGCTGCAGAGCACCTGTCGCAGGAGTGGGGTGAACGATGGAAAGAGAAGGGGAACACACAGTCCAACTGAGTTTTTGGCTCCTGGAGGGGAGCCCAGAGGCTTTCCTCTGGCGCCCCAGACGGCCGACAAATGCGGCAAGGAGGCGCCCAGAAGCCGAGGAGGGCCCCGAGAGGCTGCGAGGACGGCCGCAGAGAGCATCCGCATATTCTAAGATAGCCGCACAAGCATGCAAAAGCTCGCGGAGATTCACGGGAGCGCAAGGAGAAGCGCGAAAAGGTCTGAATCGTCATAATCCTAGGTGTTTTATAATATTATATCCAGTGGTTTTGGGTCCTCGTTTTGAAGAGAGAGCGCCCAGCGTCACCCACTCCTCCTCGCCCTCCCCCCTCTATCGCCCGCATGCGTCACCCACATCCACTTCGGCACACCACTCACACGTTTCGTGGCCCCATAGGGAGCTCCACCGAAGGCCCCAGTGCCACCGCCCGCATGCGTCATTTGAAATTCCTCGAGCACGAAAAGGTTTTGAAAGGGTTTCGACGCGAACGTGGCAGCGCGCGCGTGTGGTCCGTATGGTATACTTTAGTATGGATTCTTCTCCCGGGCGCATGCCACATCAGCTTGGATGCACCGCGTGCTGGGATGAGGATGCGGGTTCTTTCTCGTCATTTCAGGAAGCGCGCACGGGCAGAACATTCAAACTAATTGTAGCACGTAGCCAAACTTGTTTCATGAGTTTCTGTAGATATGCTTGCAACACGGTGTTCGGTATGATTTCGACAGGTGCGCACGCGTGTGGAATTTAACCAGGAGTTTTGACATGATTTTCTGAAATAAACGAGTGTGCGCGCATAGTATTACTTGGCAGGGATGAAAGGGGGGTCTCAATTCCGGGGTATGGATTACGATGGCAAGTGAGCGACGGGGCAGGATTACCTGTACGTTCTATCTTCCCAAGGTGTATCGCGAATCCCTGAGGGGAGGAGGGTGGAGGCGATGACCAGGGGGTGGTGGATATTATGGTGGCGTGGTCAATGATATCTCCCCAGATTTGATGGCGCCTCTTCTTACTTCAACACGTCCCTGGCCCCCCCCCTTGGCCGCGCACGTGCCGCCGGCCATGATTTGCGCCCCCTCTCCTTTTTCAAGTGAGAAAAACCACCCGCACCCGACAGTTGGTGTTTATTGAGCGGCCCTGGGCGCTTACTAAGCAGCCCCGCCCTGTTTGATTCCTTCCTGGGTGCGTTGGCTGAACGCCTTCGCGTGTCGGCGCGATTCTGATGTGGGTGGCTTCTCTGCCCTCCACTCTGGGACGCCCCCCTCGTGGACGCCCCGGATATATTTCTCCCGAGAGAGAGAGAGAGAGAGAGCGCGTGTGGTGAGGCCAGTGCGGTGCACGCCCGCGTGGCCCGCGCGCTCGCGCTGCCGCGCGCGCCGCGCCCTGCCGCGCGCGCGCCCGCGGGCGCGCCGCGGCGCCGGGCAGGCCGGCCACCTCCCGGCGGCGGGCCACGGCGCGGCCGCGCAGTGCACCCAGGACGCCGCTCTCGATCTGCACTCGCGCCGCGGCCTGGGCGCCGCCGCGGCCGCCAGAGACGTCGTCGTCGTCGGCGGCGGCGGCGGCGGCTGCGGCGTCGGGCGTCGGGCGTCGGGCGTCGCCGTCCGCAGCGTCGTCGGAGTCGGCGTCGGCGTCGGCGTCCGCAGCTGCGTCGTGTCTGGTGTCGTGGGCGTCGCCGTCTGCGGTGTCGGCATCGACGTCGTCGTCGTCGTTGTTACTGCTGCCAGCGGCGTCCGCGTCGGCGTCGCCACGCCCCGCCGCCGCCGCGCTCGCGCGGCGTGGCGTGCGCAGCCTTTGGGCTTCCCCAGGGGGTCTCGACCAGGGGTGACCACGGGCCCGTTCGCGCACAGATTGGCGGCGTCGCCGTCGGTTTTTTCGTGGTCGTCGGCGGCGGCGGCGGCGGCGGCGCTGGGGTCGTCGTCGCTGCCGCCTCGTGCCGCCGTTGCCGCCGCGGCTATCGTGTCTGCCGAAGTCGTCGTCGTCGTCGTCGTCGCCGTCGCCGTCGCCGTCGCCGTCGCCGTCGCCGTCGCCGTCTCCGTCGCCGTCGCCATCGCCGTTGCCATCGCCGTCGCCGTCGCCGTTACTGTCACCGTCGCCGTCGCCCTCACCAACGGCGTCGGTGGTGGCGGCTGCGAATCAGGAGAAGGGGTCGGAGGGGAAGGGTCGAGGTGGAGGGCAAGGAGGGGGATGGGAGGACGGGGAGGGAGGAGGAGTCGAAGGAGGAGGGCGAGGAGGAGGAGGAGGATCGGGGTCGGAAGGAAGCTAGTGAGGGAGTGAGGGAGGGAGAGAGAGAGAGCCGAGAGGGAGGGAGGGAGGGAGGGATGATGAGGATGATGATGATGATGAGGAGGAGGCGGAGGAGGAGGAGGGAAAGGAGGTGGGGTATACATATATATATATGTATATGTATATGTATATGTATATGTATATATATGTATATGTAGGTGTATATGTATATGTATATGTATATGCACATGCATATGTGTACGTATATGTATATGTATATGCATTTGCATATGCATATGTGTATGTATATGTAAATGTATATGTATATATATATATATAGGTATATGCATATGTATATGTATGTGTATATGTATATGTATCTGCATTTGCATATGTATATGTATACGTATATTTGACGTATAAGTATATGTATATGTATATGTAGATGTATATGTATATATGTGTATCTGTATGCATGCATGCATGTCCGTATGTATGTATGTATGCATGCATGCATGCATGCATGCATGCCTGTCTGTCTGTCTGCCTGCCTGCCTGCCTGTCTGTCTGTCTGTCTGTATGTATGTATGCATGCATGCATGCATGTATGTATGTATGTACGTACGTACGTATGCATGCATGGTTGCATGTATGTATGCATGTATGTATGGCTGTTTGTATGTACGTGTGTATGTGTGTGTATATATATAGATGCATGTATGCCTGGCTGGCTGGCTGGATGGATGGATGGATGGATGTATTGATGTACTGTATGTATGTATGTATGTATGTATGTATGTATGTATGTATGTATGTCTCTGTGCGTATGCATGTATGTATGTAGGTCTGTCTGTATTTATGTATGTATGCATGCATGCATGCATGCAGGTAGGTAGGTAGGTAGGTATGTAGGTATGTAGATACGTAGGTATATAGATACGTAGGGATGTAGGTATGTAGATATGTAGGTATGCATGCATGCATGCATGCATGCATGCATGCATACATGCATACATGCATACATGCATACATGCATGCATGCATGCATGCATGCATGCATGTATGTATGTATGTATGTATGTATGTATGTATGTATGTCTCTGTGTGTATGTATGTATGTATGTATGTCTGTCTGTCTGTATTTATGTATGTATGCATGCATGCATGCATGCATGCATGCAGGTAGGTAGGTAGGTGGGTAGGTAGGTAGGTATGTAGGCATGTAGATACGTAGGTATGTAGACACGTAGGTATGTAGGTATGTAGGTATGTAGGTATGCATGCATGCATGCATGCATGCATACATGCATGCATGCATACATGCATACATGCATATATGTGTACATGCATGCATGTATGCATGTATGCATGTATGCACGCATGCATGTATGCATGTATGCATGTATGCATGTATGCAGGTATGCATGTATGCATGTATGCATGTATGCATGTATGTATGTATGTATGTATGCATGTATGCATGTATGCATGTATGCATGCATGCATGCATGCATGCATGCATGCATGCATGCATGCATGTATGTATGTATG